CACTCGTGCCAAGCGTCGGTTTCAATGTGCAAGGAGCACAAATCTTGGGCTGTGGACAATGTGAAACATGTATTGTTCTCTGATGAGTCCACCTTTACTGTTTTCCCCACATCCAGGAGAGTTATGGTGTGGAGAAGCCCCAAAGAAGCGTACCACCCAGACTGTTGCATGTCCAGAGTGAAGCATGGGGTGGATCAGTGATGATTTGGGCTGCCGTATCATGGCATTCCCTTGGCCCAATACTTGTGCTAGATGAGCAAGTCACTGCCAAGGACTACCGAACCATTCTGGAGGATCATGTGCATCCAGTGGTTCAAACATTGTATCCTGAAGGCGGCACCGTGTATCAGGATGACAATGCACCAACACACACAGCAAGACTGGTGAAAGATTGGTTTGATGAACATGAAAGTGAAATAGAACATTATGGCCTGCACAGTCACCAGATCTAAATATTATTGAGCCACTTTGGGGTGTTTTGGAGGAGCYAGTCAGGAAATGTTTTCCTCCACCAGCATCACAGTGACCTGGCCCCTATCCTGCAAGAATAATGGCTTCAAATCCCTCTGATCACTGTGCAGGTGTCATCCCCAAGATGAATTGATGCTGTATTGGCCGCAAAAGGAGGCCCTACACCATCCTAATAAATTATTGTGGTCTAAAACCAGGTATTTCAGTTTCATTATCCAACCCCTGTATGTTGACAGTATGGATTGAGGTTTATGTTTTGCCCCAATATAACTGAATCAGAAACTGATACATTGATGTCTTGTCACACCACTAACCATACGTGGTTCAGGAATCTAATATAKAGCGTGTACAGACAAACCAGAGAAGGAGTGCTGTATTCTATGACTCATTGTGGTTGATAGGGTTTACTCACAAAATACTCGTCCCTCATTCTTAATCCTGCGGATGGCAGGTCACACGAACAGCTCTGAAAGATGAGAAGAAAGTGTTTCAATTCAGGCCCAGCCCAGTCCTTGTTTTGTTCGTGCCTCATTTGAAATTATTTTAGCTGAAACTTGTGGTGTATATTTAAATCCAGAATATCCTTTCTTCTGGGTTCTTTTACGCAAACTGTTATGAGCTCTTCTTTTAGGGAAGTGGTAAATACAAAAACTCTATCAACAATATCCTGATGATAATGGAGGAAATGAATATTTCCAGTGATGATAAACGTCTGGTGTCAACATCCAAACTCAGCTTTTATTTTTGCAAACGCATTAAGAATTTTCCCTTGGCTACAGACATGATCTGGATTTATTCACTTTATTTGTCATGTACAGTAATGTGTGTCTAWTGTGCTTTATTGTATATGTATTAATGTTAAACATTTGGGTTTTGTAAATAAGACTGATAATTAACGAGTGCCGTTGAAAGTGTTCTTGAGAACATTGTACAGTGGTGGAACAGGAAATGTGGAGCGTCAGATACTGAGAATGTCTCGTCATCGAAGGCCTAAAAGCTAGTCTGAGCTCAGGATGTGGCTTCACTGTATTATGATGCACGCTCGTGCAGCACTCYCAGGGCTTATGGATTGTTACAAGTATTTTGTTATAATTACACCTCAGTATTTCACAGTTTCAGACTCATTTGCATTAAAACCCTTTAGTTTTAGGATGGCTTCTGGATTGTGTGTTGTAAAGAAGTCAGTGTGAGGTAGCTGCTCATTAATGTTTTTGCACATCTGCTATTGATCAAACATTTGGCTAGAGTGGGTTTGTAGAGCGATCTGTGACATGTTTTTCTATGCCCCCCTTGAGAAAAGCATATTGTTAAAACCTGCTGCTGGGTTCAGCTACACTTAAGGGCTCTRGACAGCGAGGAGATAAAAATAGACATACTGGTTTTGGGTGAAGTAAGGAGGGACYCCCGACTGTGTAACAGCCCTGTGAAAAAGCAACAAAAGTGCTGGAGTTTGGTGCTGTTTTTTGTTACCAGCAGACGCCCACTCAGCCTGTTTGAGTCAGAATGAAAAAAAAAAACGGTTCGGTTGAATCGGGCCTCACATTGTTTCATTGTTTACTTTCAGGTCATCATTGGTGCTTGTGTAGCAGCTCTGCAACAAACTAAATCTCTTATCTGATGCTCTTCTGAACTTTTAGTATTTAATATTATTTCCCACACGTTAGTTTGTGCTCTACAGGTCCTTTTATTTCAGAACTACAAACTCCTAACCACTGTGTGTTTGTCCTTTAAAGATGGTCCTGCTGTGCTGACTTCATTCAGGAACTTGCACTCAGGTATGAGCAGATCCGAGGCGTCCCGTCACCCCAGCCCGACCGTCATGTCGTCGCTTCTTCTGTTTTTTTAAAGGGATCCACGATTACTTGTAACATTAGACTTTATTTGATAAACATATATTTTAACTGTAAAATATAGTCTGTAAAAATACTGTAGCCTGTTTAGTAAATATTTAAAAAATATATTGTAATTGTGACGGAGCCTTTTTATTTACACGCAAAGCATTCTGGGTAAACGATGATGTCGACTAGGTCATCAGCGAGGCAGCGAGTGAGCTATATCCACCCTGAAGAGTAATCTTGGACAATATCTGACGATCGGCTCTTTTAAATGAAACCAGAGAGCGTTGACAGAGAGGAGAAGATAGAAATATGGATGGAGGACAACAGAGCTGCTTCATGGAAGAAGAACCTCAGCTTAGCTTGTTAGCTTTAGCATTAGTACAGACGCTACATTGCCTTATATACATATTAGCTATGCGCTAACGCGAAAGCTACACTAATTAATTACATCATAAAATTGTACCCTAATTACCACGTAATTACATGGTAATAAGGTAGGAATTACAGTTTTTTATTACCTTGTAATTACATGGTAATAAGGGCACCGTAAAACAAAGCGTTACCATAAAGTCTAATGTTACAAGTAATCGTGGATCCATTTAAATTTTCATATTGTGCTGGACTCTCCTCAGTAGTTTGGTGCAAATGTTTTGTTGCTGTCAGGTTGGTCTGTTGATGAGATCCAAGTGTCTGCATGAACGTCTGCTCCGTATCAACTTCCATAATTCAGTTCTGCTCATCTGTCCTGCTCCTGGAAGCTTCACGTGTTTATTATGGTCGGATGTGTTGCATGCTACAATATGCTGCAGTGAGGCCTCATGTCTCAAGGAGGATGGGTTGATWTAGTGATTTATGCTGAGAATCTAATAATTTACATTTATTAGATGCATATTTGTCAAATAGACATACAATTTGCTGAACTGCGAGAATAATTTAAATAATGATAAATATATTTCACATTTATGTGGTTTTGCAAACTGACTGGAACAGATTTGTGTGTTTAGGTTTCACAATATTGGCGGGGGAAGTCTTTGGTCACAATTACTCAGCTGATTTTGTTAATTTTTAAAAGAAGATATAGTTCTACCTCGTAAAATAAGMACTACTGTCTATATGAAGTAATGAAGCTTATCTTTAATCTCTATCTATACTTATTGYACCTTTTAGCCTTTTGCTTGCCTGAAGCAACCTGCTATCAGATTCTGTCCTGCTGCTTCTTCTCTTTATGTCCTCACAGCCACTATCAAGATACAAAAAAACTGGGAGTATCCACAGTTCTTACGGAAACACACATTTCTTGTGGCGATGATTCAATCATCTTTGTTTATTCTGATGTATGAGCTGCTGTTCATGAACATAAAGCAAGGATTATTTTATTGCTGGGACAGTAAGCAAGGTTTATTACTTGATTAGAACTTTAATTGCAAGTCTTAACACTGTCATAACAGCAGCAATAACTTGATCATCTCATCAAAATAAAGGTTTAGAATTAAACTTTAACATTAGTAGGCTATATGTGAGGTTTGCATTCATAAAACAACAAACACATTCTTTTGTCTTATTGCATCCAAACCTGATGTTTTATAGAGGCCTTCCTGTGACTGGATAAAAGCGTGGCCACAAGATAATTATTGCAGTCATTTCCCTGCAGAGATTGATGATTGTTTACATGAACAAGTTTGACTTAATTGTTTTATTTTAATATAGGCATGAATGACCTACTTCAGTCACTCTTATATGTTGCAGCTGTAAGACATATGAGGAGTTGTATTTGTCAAAAAAAAACTTTATTTTATTTTTATTGAAGCTCAACACTCAAAACGAGCTCCTCTCACTCCCTGCCTTGGCAGCGAGTTGAGGAAGTTAAAGTTTGTTGCGTTCAGGGACACAGTAAAAAGTCTGTTTACCGACACACACCTTGGGCGTTCAACATCATCTCATAAATACTATGAAAGATGAACCGTTTAAACATACTCTCAATAATAATCAAGTGTGGGGTACCTTTAAATAATTAAAACACAAAAACAACATTCATATATAATCTGACTCTAACAATGTTTGTATCTCTCAAAGCCTCTACARACTCCCTCCGAACTGCCGAAATGGGCTCTCATTGTTTCAGCTGAATGACGAAAATTGGGTCATTTTGTTCAGAGACCTCCACTTTGACACAAGGCCCTGAACTGTTTCTCACCGCACTCAGTCGTTGTCAGACGTTTGTGGGTGTGTTTGTTTATTTGGAAAATGTTCAGATGCTGAACTTTTGCTTCAACCTGCTTTCCAGAAGCCGACTGTGGTATCCAGAAACAGACATTTATAAATTAAGAAAGTAAAACGGACAAAATCTCGTGAATGGAGGTAAAAAAAAGGACATTTTATATGAGGAATCTTTCACCAGAAATGATTAATTCTTCATAAGTAAATTTAAGGTTATCCATTTCTGTGATGAAGGCATGGCTGCAGGTAAAAATGTGTTTTATTCTGCATTTTGAGGCATAAAAGTGTGTTTCGTGGTTCATATGAGTACAAACCTTGCAGTTGCACAACAGGACGGAACACAGGTGTGACTCATTACTCAAGTTTTTTTCTTTAACTGGAAAACAAGAATACAAATGGAATACACAATAATAAACCTGCACTAACCCAAGTAAACCTAGAAAGTTGTATTGTTTAGAATAAGGTCAGTAAGAATTGGTCTGCAAGTAAACAGATAAAAGGGAGACCATTTTATATTTTTTGCTGAAACATTGGTTGTACTTTATATTTTTGCACTTATTTCACAATAATTATTTTAGTATTTATACTCTGGCTGGGAGAAATGCAGTTTTGTCTCTGAGTGGCTGGAATAATCGTAGCAAAGTGCTTAAAGATTAACTCCTGGAAAAAAAACATGCAACAATGAGGCAGTTTGGCAAGAAACAAGAAGTTGACTTGCAGGGGGAGTTAGTCAAAAAATGGAACACAGATAAGGAGGAGATATGGAGCGAAACAAACAGGAAGTAAAACAACCAGAAGCACACAAGGACAGAATAATTTAAAAATAAAACAGGAAGATAATCCAACTAAAACACTAAAAATAAATGCATATCTGCATTCTTAATTCTAATATACAACATATTTTACATTTTGAAAAATAAAATTCCCGGCACCAGGAATTGATAAGTCCTTGCAGTGAATTATCGTTAGTGCTGTTCTGTTTGCCAACACATCAGCAGGAGTAACAAGTGTAAAACAGACAACAAGCAATATGAGAATTTCTGGAGCTGAAAATATTATCTGCTGTACTCGTGTGTGGGCAAACGACATGTTCGTTCACATCTTCTCAGGAAGATGTTAAAGCGAGGAAGACGAAGAGCTGCCTGTCGCTCGTAGTATTTGTTTCAGTGACTCAGCCGGGGTTACATACAGTACACACACTGTGACCGTTACACACACAGAGCTGCAAAACTTAACTGCTGAGCTGTAAATATGACTCCAGAGACTTCATATGTTCAGAGCAGTGGGTTTATTCCTGTTTCTGCTGCAGCTATTTATGCCTGAACGCATTAGGAGAAGATTCACAACCACTGCAGGATTTTTATCATCAGAGCCTCACTTGTAATTTATATATTGGCACACCTCCTCCAATGAGAACACACTGAAGATGGTTCCAGTGATACTTTAATTATTCATATTGGGCGAGACTATCTGACCCTGATACCAGCCCCGCCCCTGTCTGGCCTTTAATGCACCTCTTAGGTGAGGTAAGGAAACAGACAAAGATTCTCAGCAGGATTAGAGATGGACAGATTATACAGTCATCTGATCAGGTAGCTTCATTTTAGAGGGTTTTGTTTAAATAACTGGTCTGAGATGATTAAAGGATCAGCACATATGCTGGTAGGACTGTTGTTTCGCATGACACTAAACTTGTCACAAATAAAATATTCGTGATGATTGGTCCATTTCACATCAGTGAGCTTTTTTGCTTGGATTGTACCAGTGTCAAAAACATGCTTAATAAAACTGAGAGGGTATGTACTTCCTAATACTGACCACCTTACTTTAATGTACTGCTATTTATGAGATTAAAAATATGGATACCAAACGGCTGCATACATTTTCTGAAGATTGGCAATGGTAGCTAAAAGAGTATCCTCAAAACCAACAGTTTAAAGTTTTTTTTAAATGTTCCTGAATTCAGAGGAAAATCCAAGTTGATTTCAATTCAATTCAATTCAAAAATACTTTCTTGATCCCAGAGGGCAATTAGGTAAAATTAGGTATTTGGAAAAAGTTGATAAATTCCCTGTAACTTTGGTGTATTTTTCAAATAAAGCCCAGCTCAGCAGACACTATTTAGGTCTTAGGTTTGTATAAACGTCCAATAGAAAGATTAAAATGGACTCTAATGAAAGCGAGTTGGATTGATGAGGTTTCAGGCCAAAGTGAGACAAAAGAAGCAGCCGAAGTCATGAATGACGTAATGTTTGGTCCATAAACTTGAACTGCAACCAAAGGGATGGTTTCCAAGTTTGAATTTGCGAGTTCCTCAGAACACATGCGTTTGATACTGTAAACTGCCCCCATCAGAGCACTACAGAATAATTAAAGATTTGCTTCAGAGGAACAAAACAATCATTCACTCAAAAAATGTCTATAAATGCAAAGTTCAGGACAGAAAATCTGGTAAAAGCCTGTTTAACTACATCAGGATTAAATGATAAAAACCCTTTGTCTTATTGGTTTCATTGCTTTTTGTTTGTTTGTTTATTTTGTGTTGGCTGCTGTCATGAGAATTTACTCTGACAGAAATTCATTGTTCATCTCAGCCTTTTGAACTTCATCTTTTCCTTTTTCCCCAAACAATCCAACTCCAGCATCCTTCCTCTGTGTGGCAGCTGTTCTTTATCTCCTGCATCCATTCAGTCAAGTCTACTTTTTATCTTGTAAAACATCACCAGTTATTTTGCCTGACATTGAGGAGTTTGTTTTTTGTACATGTTTAATGCTGATAATAAGTTTGCTGTCATGTTTGAGTTTATGAATTCCCTCTCATGTCTCAGAGCGAGATAAAACAAGAGACAGAAACGTTTTAGTTTTGTCGCTCAAACATGTGGTGTGGTTAAATGTGGCACTTTGATTCATCTTGTTGGGAAGCTTTTCACACAGCTGGCAGTCTAACTCACAGGAGAGCAAATCTTAGACTGTAAATAGAAGCAGAAGAAGTTTAAATGGGTTAAAATGTGGATCAGAAAGCTCAGTTTACACAAGTAGAAAGCTTAAAGAATGTTAAGCTGTGGAACATGGATCGGTTAAGATAACGTTGTCAATTGTTGCTGTTTTAAAAGAACTGAAAGTTCCTTGGAAATTATCTACTTATTAGTGTCTGTAGAGGTAACACACTGCTGCTGAACCTTGGCTTCTGTTTGCACAAGCCGGCCTCTGATAGCTGCCTGTGTGGAGTTGGAGTAGGGCCAAACAACTGAGACTGAAAAGGAAGAAGAAAAAAAAATCAGCTGTATGACCAACTCTTCCCACACAGCCTGTGTAAAAATGACAGTGCTGCCATTTGGCCTATTTATGTGTCAGAAATTCCTGTCCTTCAGCCGACTTCATTCCTTTCTAGCTCGTCTCAAGACCCTTGATTGAACTTCCACGACGGCTCTGTTCTGATTGGCTCAGACTGCAGCTCGTGTGCAGCTGGGTTAAAGCTGCAGGAGCCTGAAGACTTTTCTCTTCTTTGTCTGTGTTGAGAGTGAGAGGGAGGTTTAGCCTTGTGGTCCAGCAGAAGGCCACAGATATAAGCTCCGCCCACTCCGCATCTCTATCTGCAGGAAGTGCTGCTTTCCCACCTGATCACATGAGCTCCCTGTGCCATGAAGAGAGGAGGATCTGCTGGAATGTTATGCGTCATTGTGTTAAATATTTGTGTGTGGGTGTGTGTTTGCATATAAATTGTGGGGGGGCAGTGATTTAAACGGGTCTGTGCTGATGCTGCCAAGATTTTTATTGTTGAATGGAAGTTGCCTGAGATGCATGTTGAATATGTCAGACACAGAGTGGATCTAAACGCACATTAATATTCTTTCAGCACTCCGTGCATGGATATAAACAGAGCTTACAGTGATCCAACTAAATTACAAGGTCTGTGGGATGATGAGAGAAGATTATTATTTTTGGAACTCAAGTTTTTTTCTCATCGGCTGCATGGATGCAGACAAACCTTGACAAGTCAAACTATTTCCTGCACAGAATTCATTCATTCACACAGGATGTTGGAACAGTTTTACCCTGATCTTGTCCTGCTGGTTATACTCCAACAGTGTTTTAATATCTGAGGTAATAATACAACACAATATAGGCAGATAAGAAGATTCTCTGTGGCCACAAGTGAAATCTAAAATTAGCCGCAAACCTCAATTATCCACTTTAAAGCTTTGTAAACCCTACACCTTTTAGAATTTGATTTCATGAAAAAGTAGATTCAATAAAATGCACAGGGTGACAAARGTAAAAACATTTAAGACTTTCTAATTATTTATATCCAAACAAATATTGAGACAAAATATGCTGATAATATATCACATAATAAATATTCAGTCCTTAACAGCTGGTTATTTTCATTTAATAGTTACTTTTTATTTTAAAATTATTTTTCTTTTTACCAACACCAAAATGTAACAACTTCCTCATTTCCTGAAAATCTGTTCCTAAGTCTTTGTGTAATGCACAAACAAACCAACCAACCAACAGGAATGAAAACATAACCTTCTTGGTGGACATAATAACAATGTTACATATTTTACTATGAAGCAGTTATTTAATGTATCACAAATTTTCAGTTGTTACTTTAATACGACAAGCAGAAACCCACTTTTTTCTTCTGTATTTTAAACCAATAAGAATTACTAATACTAATTTAAAAACATAAAAATATTGTCTTTCTTAATTTGAATAAAGCTCAATTATCTTTTAAGACAAACAACATCTCAGTTTTGGTTTTTACTTTACTTTCTGCCTCCTTTCTAAATGATGTTTTGTGTTTTTATTTTGTAGATGAGAGCTGCGGAAAAGATGTCAGTTCATCTGAAAGAACTCCGCTACCTGGGCATTCTGAAGTAAGTAATAAATTACCTGTGACCTTTAATTTACCCAGAAACTCTGGAGGACAAGGAGAGCTAAACTAAAAACAGCATAAGAGAATAAAAGTGATAGTTTGGTTTATAAATTGAAAGAAAAAACTGTTTTTATACACAACATATTACTTTTTTTTAACTTTGTTTTAATACTAACAAAACAGTGTTTGTAGTCGGCAATTTCCAGTCCTTTGTTTTTCAGGATACAGTCACTTCCTGTTTCTCTATTGATTGCTTAGCAACACTGCAACGTCAGCTGTTCTTATTCTTGTTGCTAAGTTTGTTCACTAGTGAGTAGCTTCTAATGTAGCCTGTAGCACCCAGGTCTTTGTAAAAAAAAAGAAAAGAAAAAAGTATGTATGTTTCTCTAAATGTCAAATTATGTTTGTTTTGTTTTGTTTTTTTCTAACTCAGAATTGTTGTTCATTAATATGGGTCATTGAGCCGGAAGAGGGTAGAGTGCCTTCTCTGGGTCAGGGGGGTCGCCCTGTCTCAAGTGGAGGAGTTTAAGTATCTGGGGATCTTGTTCACGAATGGGGGAAGAAGGGAGCGGGAGATCGACAGGCGGATTGGCGCAGCGTCTGCTGTAAAGCGGGCGCTGTACCGGTCCATTGTGGTGAAGAGAGAGCTGAGTCAYAAAGCGAAGCTCTCGATTTACCGGTCGATCTACGTTCCTACCCTCATCTATGGTCATGAGCTTTGGGTCATGACCGAAAGAACGAGGTCCCGGATACAAGCGGCCGAAATGGGTTTCCTCCGCAGGGTGGCTGGGCTCTCCCTTAGAGATAGGGTGAGAAGCTCGGTCATCTGGGAGGGACTCAGAGTAGAGCCGCTGCTCCTCCACGTCGAGAGGAGCCAGTTGAGGTGGCTCGGGCATCTGGTAAGGATGCCTCCTGGACGCCTCCCTGGTGAGGTATTCCGGGCACGTCCCACCGGGAGGAGGCCCCGAGGAAGACCCAGGACACGCTGGAGGGACTATGTCTCTCGGCTGGCCTGGGAACGCCTTGGAGTTCCCCCGGAGGAGCTGGAAGAAGTGGCTGGGGAGAGGGAGGTCTGGGCCTCCCTTCTGAAGCTGCTGCCCCCGCGACCCGACCCCGGATAGGCGGAAGAAAATGGATGGATGGATGGATGGATGGATAATATGGGTCAATTAAATGTCAGTTTGATTTATATTGTCCGTCAGTTTTATCTTTTACTTCTGATTTGTGGAGTTTTGCTTTGGTGAAAATGTCAGTCTGACCTCAGTGTTCAAACTGCTGAGTCACAAGACCTCTGAGTCTCAAAGAGCTCCTCTCATGACTCGAGTTGGACAAAACTAATCAGGATCTTCAGTGACTCATCAGCTCGTGAAGTTAGAGTTAAAATCTTCCCAAATGACACGAATGAGAACATTTGAATTTTATGTAATATAACATTTTCAATATGGCTTTAGCTTTTATTACTCTGGCAGTCTTTTATTTTATCTCTAACATCCAGGGTCGGAGCTAGACTTTTTTGCACGGGAGTGGCTAGTGTGTTATCTGGGGGGCTCATATAAATAAACTACCCTGGATTTGAGAATTTAAGATGACCAACACATTTAAATGGATGTAATTCAGCTATTTTAAGACTAATCGAGCCAGAAATTTGTTGTTGTGTAGCCAAGAATGATCACTAGTCCCAATGTAAGCTAACCGCTAATGCTAATTTTACAAAGGGCTATAATTCAGCCATTAAAAACACAGCTGAAAATGTATACAGTAGCCAAGAATAATCGTTAACAAAATCTGAATGTAAATACAAAATCCAAGATGGGCGCCAAAGTCGGAGCTCAACCAGTCTTTTACAAATACTGAGCTGAAATCTGGTAAAGTTTTAGCCAAGTGCAATCCCCGTGTCATTTTTAAATCTCAGTTTTAAGCTTTTAAAGATATTAAGCTGAAATTTAGTGTGGTGGGGGTTGAGAGTGATGCCTAACAGATTCTAAAACCAAATAAAAGAAGTAAGTAAAGTTTTATTTATATAGCGCCTTTCACAGAAATAAATTCACAAGGTGCTGTACAAACAGTTTAGAACATCCATTCAAGAAGACACACAAGACAAAGGGGAACAGGTGTACAGGTCATGTTGCAACAGAGACAGAGACAGTTGCGCTACCTTTAACAATAAATAAATAAAAATTAAAAATAAAAAAATAAAAACCATACAAGGGAAGAACATCATATTATATCAACAATGTGACACACTATGGTGTTTATAAAAAAAAACCTCTGCACAGAGCACATTTATTAGCCAGAGGAGTAAATGAGTTTAGGGGTGTGCGAATCTGAAGCCATGATTGTTGTATGCACTTGTGCAAATATCTGAAAAATTAGCCTGAAGAATCAAGTCCCCAAAACCCGCGCAGCCATAGTCCAGAATATGGATGTTAATTGTTCATTCTGTGTGGCCCTCAGCTTGCTCCAGGAACTAGATCACAGACAGGTCTGGGGGGGGGGCGGGGGGTGGTGGGCAGACCCACAGTCGACATATACATCCAGGAAGAATTTAGTCCACAGCTCAAGGCCATGTAGGGGAGAACCGAATTCTGTAATCGGTTATTTGGGAACAGAAGAGCCAAGCAGACAATAACAATTTTCCATCTGCCTTAATGTCTGCTGGTACTTCTCAATGTGTCAAATCCATTCAGACAAATATTGTGGACAAATTCCGCCGAGCCATGCTATCAGTTTTCTCCAAGATGAATTCCATCTGGCCAGCAAAGTCCAGGGACCACAGCCGGCCCACGGCCCTCAGCAGAACCGCTTGCAGACCGAGTCCCGCTCGCTCAAGGCATCTGAGTGCTGATAGAATGGCAATCCTTCATAATGGTCAGGCAGCCAGGAAATGAACAGTCATCAATGCTGTTTTGTAGAACACCACCAAGCCAATCTGTAGAATCCAGTGATCGGAACCCAAATATATATCCAGAACATTAACAGAACAGAGGTCCCACCTTTGACATGTCCTCCCATGGAAGAAAAAATTGTTCCAAAATTTTATTAAGAGACCAGCTAACCAAATCCATAAAGATAAAAATATCCATAATTTCTCATTTRGGATGAAAACGTAGAGAAGGCTCCGAGCAGCAAAACAGGGAATATAAGGAAGGGCAGGAGAGAGGGAAAAGGTGTCTTACTCATCCAAGAGCAGAACAAAAAAGAATTCAAGATGTCCAACAAAGCTAAATTCAAATGGCTACAATTCAGCTGTTTTGTTATACATATTGAGCTGAAATTTGGTTTGGAGAAGTTTTCCTTTTTATTGAATCAGTGGTTTAGAAATTTTATTATTTCTCTGTTTACACACTGATAGGTTCCCTCTACACTGGATAACACAGCTGCAGACAGATATTTACTTTGTTTTAGCTCTAACTGACCATCTTTTATAGTCAAATGTGATCCCCACCCTCACTTGTCACTCATTTGGGGATGGCACCTGGGGTGGCTAATCAGGTACCAGGGCTGGCACTTGCCACTTTGGCAAACCCCTCTGGCTCCGCCCCTGCTAACATCTCTCCACTCCATCCTGTTTGAACTCTCTTCTCTTTCACACACCCTGTTTTCCTGAACAGTCAACTCAACGTACTTGAAGTTGTGTACCATTGTGACCTCTGCTCCTTGTCGCCTCACTGTTCCTCCAGCCTCCCTCTCATTCACACCTGTACTCTGTCTTATATGCCTGACTTGCATTGGTTTTGTGTAACAACAGTTTGGGATTCTGTGACCCATCATTTCCTGTTTGACCTTGATTTTCCAGTCGTTTAGTTTAACCTTTAAAAATACCTCCTTACAGAAACATTTCATGACAGGCTTTTGGGTCCTTCACTCTCAGTGTGTGAAAGTCTAAATACTCTCGAGTGTAATTAATTTATGGTAACTTGTCAGGTTATTTACTGTGCTTCTCTAACTGAAAGAGACATCCACACAGTGTTAGTTCAACTGGAACAAACAATCTCTCACTCTCTCTCTCTCTCTCTCTTTCTTTCATGGCAGGAATTGACGGATATTTTCATTTTTCATGTAAAAAAACCCTTAAAATTATTCAGAAACAGATCTGAAATAGTGTAAAGAAAATACTTATGTTTAGGGATTTTGACATATAATTTTCTGACCAATGCTGCTCTGAGCATTCGATAGTTATTTTCTTCTGCTTTGTTATTTTTCTATGAATTTCAACAAACCGCGCTGACAACAGCTTTGCTGCAGACTCTGGTTTTGTGTTTTTCCATTTCTGTCAGTGTGTTTCAAAGAGACACTTAATTGAAAATAAGCCATGTTTTTCGAGTGATCATTTAAATAGGGTAAGATTTTGTGAAGAAAAATAATTGATCTACCTTTTTTTTTTCAAATTGACAAATTCAAATATTGAATTATTTTTAATTTTTGCTACATATTAGCCCAGGTTAGCAAAGTGWGTTGATACTTGTCTTCATCATTTGAGTAGCTTTGTTTACAAAACAAATGCCCATGTGATTTTTAAATGTGATTCATTTCCTGGCTTTCCAAGACACATCAAGTTGATTTGATGTTGCAGTTTGGTGAGATGAGCCTTATGTTTTATCTTTTCTGCTGCTTTTACYCTGGATTTTGTAATATTTTTATTGTTTGTAAGATACAGGATGCTTCCCACAAAAAAACAGAATGTGAAACTTTTCTCAAGAATTTCACCAAAATATCTTCAACATTTAGGAAGTTATGAGCAAAAATAAAAAAATGAGGCAAAATGGTCACATTTGAATGAACCCTGGCAGAAATCATGAGCTTGATTACACCAAAACAAACATCCAGAACATCCTTAAAACTTGAGATAACCACATGATTTTAGTGTTATTTTGTAGGGTTTTAATGTTCTTTTTGAATCTACTGTCAGATTTGATATTGGTGTGATGTAACATTTTTTCCTATTAAGTTTGTTGTGTAAATAAGTTAATGTATTGATGAATAGAAGGCRAATAGCTTGAATAAATCAATTTTCATCATCATTAAAGTTCAAAACAACTCAGTTATCTTAAAAATCTGTCAAGAACTTTTAAACCACCTTCTGTTCCGCAGAACTTTGTAAAATTTGAGACCAAGAAATACTCTCATTATTATGATGCTATAAATATACACTAAATTAGATTTTCAGAGTCAAAAAGAAGCGAATAGTTAAACATTTAACAAAAGCAAACAAACTCTCTTAATTGTTCCATGACAAGAGTTACTGATGCCACACCCTGTGACCTCATCAGCTGCAGCTCCAGATCATTTTCATTTTATGTATTTCATTCATTAAAACTATTTACAGCTGAATAAAAAAGTAAATCATGTCGTGAATAAAAAAAAAGGTGCAGAGTGATGTAAAAATCGTATCATATCTGCCCCTTATTTTCAAAAAATTACTTCAGCAAACAAACTCAAGCTTGAGCGATCTCCAAATAAAAACAAAACAAAACAATAAATCAAAAACAACATCAGATATCTAGTGTCCAGAACAGTGTTTGTTTTCTTACCCGCTGCCTCTCTGGGATTTTTAAATGTCTCTCAGTTTTGCCCAGATTCACTCATGATTGGTTGGAAACTTCCACAGAACTCAAGTATTGTGCGTCATCTTTCTAGTCCCTGTGTCATCAGGTTGTCGCAGAATGGTTCCTACTCTCTTACTTCCAAGCTTGACTTGTGCAGTGTGTATATTGAGTCAAATCTGATTAAATGGGTTGAATTTCTCCAGACAGTTGTTTTGATTCTATGAGGGAAAAAGAAAAGTTCTGTTCTATGATTCTTTTAAATTTTAATTTATTATTTTTATTTATTTATTTATTTATTTCAGACAGATAAGCTCCAGCCGAACAGAGACACTGTGTTCTTCAGGGACGGAGTGCGGAGGATAGACTTTGTTTTGTCTTACGTGGATGATAAAGATGAACGGAAACAGGTAAGAGCTGACAAACAGGATGTTGTTTGTTTTATGATTATTCAGCATTTGTGCAGTTCTGCCAGTGATGCCGCTCTTACACAATCTGAGGAATTACTGTAAAAAGGAAGTGAGATTTTGTTCATTTTTTTAAAGTGTAATATTTGTGATCAACAATTAAGTGTAGCAATCTAGATTAAAAATATATACTTAGTGTTAAACTGAATAATAATATTCATAAGTTTGACACTATTTAATAATGCAGAAAAAAGTGAACAACAGGAAATAAATGGTTTCTAATAGTAAAACTTTGATTTTATTCATTTTTAACAAACAGTGAGCAGTTTGTCATTCAGTAGATCCTTAATTATTTGGGATTATTATAAACATCTGGTTGATTTACAAGATTTTTTTTATCTCAAATCATTAGACGCAGCATTTTATGTCTTTAATCAAGACACTTTAGAGTTAATATGTTTATTTAGATACTTAAAGTATATAGTTTTGGTAGTTTTAGTGGCGCTCTGTGAACAGAGAGAGATTCTGGCCACAGTTGAAGATGGGAATAAACATTTTAAAAACTCTTAAAGTGCTTTTAATTCCCCCAAAAATCAAAACAATAAATAGATAGCAGTATATTAGCATAATGCTCTTCAGTGTTGAGTTCACTGCTTGTTTTTTTGCCCCCAAGTGGTCAAATGTGTATGTTGTTTCTTTTTTATAATTAAATAGGTTTTTTTTTTAATAAATTGAAGTGATTAATATGTTCAGTCACTGTACTCTAATTCTGAAATGTTCAGGCAAAAAAGATGTCAAATAGTTGATTGTCTGCAAATTGTTTTTGCAGAATCAAGTTGATTCCTGAAGGTCTGAATATTATTATAAAACTGAAAGAAACACAATCTTATTTTCAAAGTCCTGTATTTGTTTGATTCTGTTTGAGCCTTCAGGCATGTTTCAGATCAGAAGGCAGAGACTGTTGGTCTGTGTGGCTCAGATGTTTGTGGTTTTTGTCCTCAGGAAAGGAGGAGGGAATTTGAGGCCAACCTAGAGAAAGCAGGTCTGGAGCTGGAGACAGAAGACAAATCGGTGAGAGATCTGACTGTAGCTCGCTGCTGCCATCTAGTGGACAGTTTGCAGAGGCGCATCATATTCTACAAAATTACTGGTGTGTCCAATCCTGATGCTGGACGGCGGCTGTCCTGCATGTTTTAGTTGTTTTCCTGCTCTTCAGCAGGTTTTAATTTTCTGCAGCAGCCTGTCCATCACACATCTGTTCAAGTCAGGCGTGTTAAAGCAGAGAAACAGCTAAAACGAGCAGGATAGCTGCCGTCGAGGACCAGACTTGGACATCGCTCTCTTAAAAGAATGACGTCAAGATTTTTTTATTATGATTTCTATCAGGATGCCAAAGACCAAAAGACTTATTTCTTGAAGATCCATGCTCCGTGGGACGTTCTCACCACCTACGCTGACGTCCTYAAGGTTAAAGTTCCCTTCAGAGAGAGCGACATCCCTCACGGTCGAGAGGCCCCGCTCTACTGGATCCCYCATCCCTTCGGCCTGCCGGACAACATCATGCGCCCAGAGCGGGATTATTTCACCTACCCCTTCGAAAAAAACAAGGAGGACTTCTTCCTCATCAGGGACAAAGAAACTTTCTTTCCTCCGTCAACAAGAAACAGGATTGTAAATATAAAAGATTGATTGGAACGTTTCTGTAGATGTTCCTGTTATTTGATTTTTTTTTTTCTGTAGCAGTCTGAAGTGTAAATGTAAAACGCAAAATAATCAAATTTTATTCTTGTTCRGAGGTGTTCTACATCCTGGCTCGATGTCCGTACTACAAGGAAGGTCAGAAAGAAAGAGAGAAAACGGGAATCAAGCGATTACTCAGCAATGGGACGTACACGGCTGCCTTCCCTCTCCATGATGTACGTCACGGTTGGTTTGAGACGAAAACCACTTTTTCTGATACTGTTAAGGTTTTTGGATAGTTCCTGGTGCGGCTTGTTGTGACAACAAATCATAGATTTAGGTGTTGCCTTCGTCTTTCTGTCAGTCACATTTTGATCATCAGTAACATCCTGACACCTACTGTATATAGTTGGTCACTTTTAGAAATGTAAGAYAAACAAAATGCTGATTCAACAATGTGGTAAGACTTCAGTGTTCGTTTCGCTTGTTTGCAGTGTCGATACTGGAAAAAAGCAAAAAACGGCAAGTGTGAAAGCGAGCGCTTCAGCCTGTACAGCCACTGGGCGAGGTTCCTCTGCTTCTACAAACAGCAGCCTCTCAATCTCATCCGGTAAACTAACAGCCTCTTTTATCTGGTTTCCCGCACATCGTTTGTTCTCACGCTCGCGCGTCTGTCTGGTTTTTCTGCAGGAAGTATTACGGAGAGAAGATTGGGATCTACTTTGCCTGGCTGGGCTTCTACACGGAGATGCTTTTCTTCGCAGCCGTCATGGGTGTCATATGTTTCACGTATGGAGTGCTGAGCTACGATGACAACATATCAAGGTTGGCAGCGTCTGGAATGTCGAAAATTTACAATTTATATTTACAACCAAGGGAAATAACATCAAAAGTTGAAAAAAATGGACTTCTTAAAACTCCAAAATCCAAGATTATTTTCTGCTGTTTTAGGTGCTGTTGTTCTTGAGATGTGTGTTAATTTAAAATCTAGCATCAATTGTTTTACTTGAAACGTTTGAGATTAAGATTTTAGAAGATGAGGTCATATGCTGCAGGGTTACAGTCTGGTCTATAGAAGGTTCCTGTTAACCCTAATGTGGGTTTCAAAGTAAAATGAAAAAGAAAAAAAATARGAACCTTTAGCTTGTTGTCATAACTCACATTTGGATAAAAATATATTTAGGATGGCTCAGTAAATCTTCATTGTTTTACTTGCATTAAAACACATAAGTAGAGAAAATTAATTATACTTCAGTGTCATTTTAACAAACACACAAAAAAAAGAAACTATCATTAAAGATGGGCTGAGGGTCAGAACCTGTTTATCATCTTGCTCATGTTTTATTGTAACAAACTAACTTGTTTAAGAAAAGGAAATGATCTAAAACAGAAAAAAAGCACAAATTCTAAAATGACACACGTTATTGCTAAAACACTCAAAAATGTTACATATAAATTCAAATCCATTTTTAAACAACGCTCTATGGACATTGTTAGGACCTTTACATGATTTTGGGACTACAGATGAAAATTAGCCTTAGGCTAAATCTGGTGCAATGCATCAAATTATGTTTTAATTGCACATTGTCCCAAATAAATAAATCATTCATTCATTCATTTTAAATCAAAGAACACATATATTTTTAAATAAATTTACAGTTCAGAAATAAAAGTCAGGATTCTATGCAGACCAGTCAAGTCGTTCCAACAAATATGTAGTGAAAGTTTCGACATAATGACCAAGCTGTAGCTCCAACTTTATTCTTCCCACAACAATAATGTTTAAATAACAGTTTTTTAATGATAATAATTTTAAAAACGTCCTGTTTTTCTCTTCAGTAAAGAAATATGCGACGCTACGATTGGAGGCAGTATATTGATGTGTCCACTCTGTGACAGGAAGTGCCCTTTTTGGAAACTCAACTCCACGTGCCTCTCATCCTGGGTGATTATTTTAATTTCTTGTTATTTACACACAATTATTATTATTATTTATGATGAACTGACCTATTAAACCCATTTACAACTCATCGTCCAGGAATAAAGCTATGAAAGATACGACATTCATCTACAAAAAGAGAAAATAAAGTGAAGATAGCTACGATGTGTTCTAATTTTGAGGAAAATGCTTATATTTAATATGAATTCTACAACAAAGTATAGAATCTTACAGCTGATTTGGTTATTTAGCAACACACCGTATATCCAGAACCCTGCAGAGTCAGCAGTTTTCTCTTCCTGTTAATGTTCCACGTTCTCTCTCTTCCAGCAATCCCATCTGTTTGATAACGAAGGAACCGTGTTCTTTGCCATATTTATGGGGATTTGGGGTGAGTGTCGCATTCAGTGAACAGATTTTCACAGTTAAACCTTTTCACACTAAAGATTTCACCTCTATCCAAACCGCTTGAGCCCAGAAAAAAACCTGCCAGAACTCTTACGTTGTTAAATCCCAGCTGTTTGGGACAAATTACCTTCAACATCAAACATGGTTTCCAGGAATTAAAAGCTCTCACAAACAAATCTGAAAGAAAAATTAATGAGTTCTTGTTTCTGAACCTTTTCTGGCAGTGACTCTGTTTCTGGAGTTCTGGAAGCGACGTCAGGCCCGACTCGAGTACGAGTGGGATTTGGTGGACTTTGAGGAGGAGCAGCAACAACTGCAGATCCGGCCGGAGTTTGAGATCAACTGCACCAACAGACGGCTGAACAGGATCACACAGGTGCTCCGCAAACGGCTTCACAAACATCTTATTTACCAAAAACTCTGGATTTGTCAACGGTTATATAAAAACAAGTACAACAACAACAAKAAAAAAAAAAACCTTGAACCTAATTTTTTTCTGTCCTTAGGAAATGGAGCCTTATCTTCCAGTCCACTCCAGGTGTGCTCGCTACTGCCTGTCTGGAGCCACCGTTCTGTTCTGGGTAACTATGAATATAAAAATATAATTTATCTTCTTCACCTTTATCTGTCTACTTTTATATTGCCCACCGTCAATCAATTTTACAGATATTCACCTAAAATCTGGTGTAAGAGTAGCTGAAACTGATCTTAAACACATTTTTTGAGCACTAACGAATTATGGATTTTTTTATTTATTTGCATTTCCCATCAACTCTGTGGAGTTAGATTGGGTGCAGGATGATAACAAATGGTAAAAGGGTGGGATCATCTCCAGCTAACTTTTAGCCTAATTTAGGACGGCTGCTACAGCTAAATGATCTTGGCAACCACAAAAAAAATTTTTTTTTTATTAAATCTTTGTTCATTTATTAAAAAAAATATAAATAAATATATAAATGAAATGAAAGGAAGCTGTGGGAAGGAAAACATCTTAATGTCTGCACCTTTTCTTTCTAAAATAAATTAAAATAATAATCAAATTTAATAAAAAATGATTAGAACTCAMTCAGTTTAGCAGAGATTGAGATAAAGTATCAAACCAAACCAAATTGTGATTTTTCTGTATCGTTGCACCTCTGTTAATTACCATAATGAATCATGTCTTTTAACTTCCCCAAATCTATCCAACCAATTATGGCTTGCCTAAACCATGCCCACACCCAAGAAACTCCCATTTAGTGACTGCAGGGACTCCCTTCTCTTTGTTATTCTAAAAGTTTGACATAAAAGGTGGCATGCTGTTTACAAATCTCTTTAATGAAACGTGATGTTTTGGCTCTCTGCAGGTTTCTCTGATTGTGGCTTGTATCATCGGTGTGATAGCGTACAGGCTGGCCGTGTACGCAGCTTTCGCGAGCGTCATCAAAGACCCGATGAGGAAGATCCAGCTGGTTGGCAGGTTCATCACTCCGCAGCTGGCCACCTCCGTCACCGCTTCCTGCATTAACTTCGTCATCATTATGATCCTGAACTTCTTCTACGAGAAGGTGGCCGTCTGGATCACCGATCTGGGTAAAAGATGCTCCGCATCCGTCCAAAACCAGAACCAGAACTTCTGTTGAGCGTTACACTGAGGACACCTGCTCGGTTTGCTTCCTGCAGAAATTCCCAAAACTCACCTGGAGTACGAGAACAGGTTGACGATGAAGATGTTCCTGTTCCAGTTTGTAAACTACTACTCGTCCTGCTTCTACGTGGCCTTCTTTAAAGGCAAGTTTGTGGGGAATCCAGGAGATTATTCGTATATGTTCGGCAGATGGAGCAAACTGAGGAATGAGGAGGTGAGTTGTTTTTTTTTTTTGTTTTTTGATCTGTGTAACTTCCTCTTCGGGGGTGATTTAAAGTGAAATAAATGTGTCTTCCTGTGTCAGTGTGATCCCGGCGGCTGTCTGATAGAGCTTACCACCCAGCTGCTCATCGTCATGGTTGGAAAACAGCTGTGGGGAAACATTCAGGAAGCTCTGCTGCCGTGAGTTTCCAAAATATCAACTATTCAGAAATATAAACTATCTGGTTCAGCTGAATTGTCACATAAAATAAAAGTCAGTAAGCCACAAAACATGCTCTTTGTTGTTGTTCTGGTAAACAGAAAGTAAAATAAAAGCCCTTGTTAGAAATACATAGTGAATACKTCAGAGTGTCTCATGGTATCGTAGCATGAAGATGAAAATAGTTTTGATATTTGAATCTACAGAGCTCGTTGTGTACGGAGCCTGTTAGGGGATATGGGAAGAAAAAAAAACACAAAAACAGATCCTGACTTACTTTTACAAGATCTTGCTAAGGTTTTAGCAGTAAGTCAGGATCCTGAGAAACTTTTGCAGTATCCTGAGAAACTTTTGCAGTATCCTGAGAAACTTTTGCAGGATCCTGAGAAATGTTTGCAGGATCCTGTGAAACTTTTACAGGATCCTGTGAAACTTTTACAGGATCCTGTGAAACTTTTGTAGGATCGTGAGAAACTTTTGCAGGATCCTTAGAAACTTTTGCAGGATCCTTAGAAACTTTTGTAGGATCCTGTGAAACTTTTGCAGGATCCTTAGAAACTTTTGTAGGATCATGAGACACCTTTGCAGGATCCTAAGAAACCTTTTGCAGGATCTTGCAAAAGTAAGTCAGGATAATTGTACATTATTTTTCCCTATAATAAAGAGCTCATCTTATGGAGGTAGATGTTGGTTGGTGGCAGAACAACCTGACCACCCATCCAAACCACCTGTGTTTTACTCTGTGTGAACTTTACTTTGAAAAGTCATGTTTAGATTCAACTTTAAGMTGCTGTTTTGTTGCTGTTTAACACAAACTTCTTGGGTCAACATAGGAAAGCACAAAATGCTTTTGAAATACTGTGCATCAATTTAAAATTAGTTCTGAGGAACAATAAAATTGTAATGCCTGTTCTGTTTTCATTTGTTTTGTGAGAGTTTGTTTAATTTGATGCAACACTTCTGGTTTGAGAATTAAAGGGGACATATCATGCAAAATTCTCTTTTTTAGTTATTAAATACATTTTGTTGTTTACTTGGAGTCTCTAGAGTGCAGAAAAGTTGAATTTATTCCCTCACAATGCTTCGTAGATACTTTACATTCTGTTTGGATCATATCTTTCAACCTGTTTTCTTTATTTTCTGTGACATTTCTGAACTATACCTCAGAAAAGGGGAGGGGCTTAGTGTAACAATAAGGAGGATTTCCGACTAAAGCYTTGCAGTTCCACTTTATAAAGACCCAAAATGAAGGATTTAAATGTGAAAAAGAAGGATTTAAAAGCTTGAAATGTCTCCTTTAAAGCTGTTTAAATTTTTGCATTTATAAGATGATTATATTTGTTTTTTCATGACTGTGTGCATATGCAGTATTGTGCTGTTTACTCCCAATAAATCAAACCTGTCTTGTCAAATCAGTATTAATTTTAGCTTAAACAAACTTTTGTTTCTTTCTAGTCTGATGCGTAACTGGTGGAGCAGCAGAAAGGGCCGTCACAATCCTGACAACCATTCCAGCCGCTGGGAGCAGGACTACGTTCTGGTGAACTTCAGCCAGCTGGGTCTGTTCTACGAGTACCTGGAGATGGGTGAGGCGCTCTCTGTTCAGGACGTTCTGAGTTCCGACCCGCGCGGCTCCACAGACCCATCAGTTGTTCTGCGTTCTCTGTTCCAGTCATCCAGTTTGGCTTCATCACTCTGTTTGTGGCCTCCTTCCCCCTGGCCCCCCTCCTGGCCCTGTTCAACAACATCCTGGAGATCAGGGTGGACGCCTGGAAGTTCACCACCCAGTTCAGGCGACCGATGGCGTCCAAGGCTCGGAACATTGGAGCGTGGCAGGAGATCCTCAACGCAGTGGCCATTTTGTCTGTCGTTACCAATGTGAGTCTTTTATGCAGTAAATGAATGATTTATACTCGTTAAAACTTGTCTCAAACGTCGTCTAGTCCAGCGTTCTGCTCGTTATTACACGTCAAGATATTTTTTATTGTTTTAACAACAAACCTTTTTCTTTTTTTGTGTGTTTTTCTTGTTGTTTCAGTCTTTTATCATGGCGTTTACCTCAGACATGATTCCTCGTTTGGTTTACCTTTACGCCTACAGTAAAAAGAACAACATGGAGGGCTACATCAACAACAGTCTGTCAGTGTACAACATTTCACAGATCCCCTTACAAAACATGCCTGAGGACGACTGGTACGATAACACCACCACCACCTGCAGGTATTACAGCTGAAACTGCTCTTTGTTCATTTAGGTCAGTTTTAGTTTCTAATTTTTCTATAGCTTCAGAGTTCCTCTAATCCTGAGGTGGGTAGATTAGCCCAAAATTGCATTCAACATATTTTTACTCAAGTAAAAGTAAAAAGTATCCATCCAAGAAATGACTCCAGTAAGAAAAAAAAAGCTACACAGGTACTGAGTAACTGATCAACGTTTTAATATTTAAAAATGACATCATCAGATGGACCAAAATATAAAGCTAGGTGGAACTTTTGGTATTTTAAAGATCAAAATGAAAAGGATTCATATACTGTAAATAACATTATTACAAAATAACAAATTCAAGAAAAGGAAAAACTTTTCTACGGAGCCCGTGAGGGGACGTGGGGGATTTTTTTTTTCCTTTTGCGTTCCCACGCAAAAGTTTTTTATTAGTGTTGTGCCTACTGGTTTATTAACAAACTCACATGTTCACCGTTAGCGAGTTAGCCTACTGCTTTAATTCAGCTTCAGAATGAATATATCACACAGCCATGCAAGTTTGATATTTTAACACAGTGCAGCCACGCAACATCAATGTCAATGTCACGAACTTGTGGCGACACATCCTGTTTTGGTAACTGGATATTTCAAAATAAAGGTCCGATTTAATTCAGTTAATACAAAACTAATTTTTGTGTGGGAACGCAAAACAATATTGTGAGGGAATGCAAACGTTTGCGAGGTATCMCAATAGTATTGCGTGGGAATGCAAAGTAAAAAAAAAATCTCCCCATGTCCCCTCGCGGGCTCCGTACTTTTCCAATTCAGTTTCTTTCAAAATAAAATTTATCCATCCATCCATCCATCCATTTTCTTCCGCCTATCCGGGGTCGGGTCGCGGGGGCAGCAGCTTCAGAAG